TTACCAATTAAGAAACTTATCTGCAATGAAAGTTCATCTTGCTCGATTTACAAGTAATAATTTTTTAAATATCAAATATTTGTGATTTTCTATTAAAATTCGTACCATCTATCTGATGAAATGATTCAGTCTTAATTTTAACATTAGAAGTTAGTTAATTAACTAACGCAAACAAATTTACTAATACAGAATGTCAATCAATCAAAAATCTTCTCAATTGATCTGGACTTGAATAAAATTCAAGTTTATAGTATCGGAGAAATCCATAATCATGCAAATATGTGAAGTTGAAATTAAAATTTAGAATAAAAAATTTTTCATTCGTATAATTTTCATAAGCAGCTTCGGACTTTGCCCATTTTTCCATAAATTCCTAATAAAGCTGCGCTTCAAAGATATTTAAATTGTATGCTAATGAGAAAGAGACTCAAGAATTTTGCACTATCTCAAACATTATATCACTTTTATTTTTGAAACATCATTCTTCAATAATTCGACATTAGCTTAACATAACTTTCTCATAATCCCGTTTCCTTTTTCCCGTCTCTTTCACAGTACCTGCTGTAAATATCGTAAATATTTTTCAGTCCCTCCATACCTGCCGTTAAGAAAGTCCTTTCGCAGCTGTCCGTTACAAGTCGTCTATACATTGAAAAGCTATAATCAACTGTTAATGTCTCATTACCAAACAACTACATTGTCAAAGAACAGCTTTTAAAGCTTTTCTAGCTTTTAAAATTTCAACAATTAGCGATTGACACGCTAACAACTTCTCAGTATAATGAACTCAATAACGAGCATATTCTCAAATATTCATATAAACAAATTAGCATTGTTCAATTTAGAATAATGTCCAGCGATATGATCTAGCCTAAAGATAATCTATTTTGCAATTGAAATTATAACATTCATTGCGTGCAACACATTCCCTGCACATTGTATCATACTTCGATTCTACATTCTGACCTACTTTAACCCCCGCAACCATATTCTCGGCCTCTAATTTGTAAAACCACGATTCTTCTCCACGATACGATTTGTCTCGTTACGAAATCGAAGCTGGGTAAAAGTTTTTAACATTTCTCGGAGGAATTCCCAGAACAAAAAAAAAGAAGCAGAGTTTTAAAGATAGAGAAACATTTATTTATTAAACCCCAACGCCGTCTTATGATTTCAGAAGCGCGCGAGGAAGAGACTGGAAAAATTTTCTTGCGGAATGGTGTCTAGATGCTTAGTCACTGCTATTTGAATCTTCTCACGACCAAAGGTATTTTCACCTCCGAGAATAGGAAAACGTATACCTGTAGGCGGTCAAGCAACTGAATAGGAAGGAATCCAGTTGATAATCGAGCTGCTTAGAAAGCAAACTGTACTCCCATCTTTATCCTTCTGTACATAACGATAATAAATGATCTTGCTTCTAACAGCAAGATTAGATATTCATACGAAGAATCGTAAAAATATCAGGAATTTGACGAAAAATTGTACAAAGTTGCTATGAATTATCGCGTACGAAAGTTTTGATATTTACACCACTGTGTTTGATACAAAAATTTAAAACCACTGGAAAACCGCCCAATTTGCAAATTGCAATTTCTATGTAACATTTTCTTATAAAAAAGGGGGAGAGGGAGAGAAAAAAATATTTAAAAAATACGGCATCCATGTATAACCAATTTCGTTCTTTGTGCGCGAGTATCAGCCGCGTCTTTCTGCATTTCCCTGGCCGTTTCTTTCTCTCTCGGACCAGGCTTGCAGCGTCGTCCACCGGTTCGACGCGTTATCGATCCCGCTATTCGCGCGTGCTCGAAAGACGCCCTCTCCTGCGGCAGCTGCCGCGCACAACACGCGTCGATCCACGACCGATTTGACGTCACAAGAATTAGCCGGCATCGATCGACACCGTGATCGATACTGTCCCGTTTTCCCATTAATAACACCGAGGGGGTGAGTTGTATCGCGAGCACCGACGCAACCATCCTTGGTTGGCTATCGCGACGCGACGACCGACCGCGACCGTCAGGACCCCCCTTCGAGGAGAAAATTACAGAAACGCACTTCGTTTTTCGTCACGCTGACTTATTGATCTTCGCCATGCCAATTTCTGCCCCCTCGTTTAGAACGAACCCCGTTAATTGGCCATTCGAGGGTAACCATAAGGTTTCGAGCAGACGCGATTACGATAACTTGCTGTTCGATGATGGCTCAGCTTTTTTTTTCTTTTTATTAATGAATAAAGTGATGAGTAATGTGATAAAAAAAAAACCATAGATTGCGTACATGTGACAATTTTACCTAATGTTTGCCTAGTTTAAAACAGGAGTTTCATTGAAATACAGAAATTTTCTATTACACGCGTGTTATTATATATTCATGAATACGGCACGCTCTACAATTGACGTCATTATGACGTTTTACAAAATTCCAATTGAATGTAATATCAATTTGACGATATACACGTAACATGTATCACGCTGAAAATGATTAAACGTTGATTAAACGAATTAATTTCGGAACTTTATGCGATATTTGCTAAACTTTCTTAGTCGTGTATTTTCAACGAAGTAATTCTTCTTCTATTTGTGAAATAATTTCCAAACAATGTTGCACAACGTGTGATATTGTTTCCAACGACGTTGGAAGTATGTTCAACGTTGAGCCTTAACAGGAAAGATACTTTCTTTTTCAAGAAAGATACGAATAAATTTATGTTCAGAAATATTTGTTTAAAACGGTAGTTTCGCTGAGTTTCTCTTTGCCATAAGATATAATGACTCATGATTGATGAGACACTGATTAATCTGACGAATCTGAATCAAACTACTTAATGGTTTACAGATCGCGGGATTCATGTGAATGAAAATGTATATGAATCAACTTGTAACCATATTCTATTTTGTTGTGTGTATGTCAAAATATACGCATGTACAATTCACATCTAAATTTACTTTTACTATTTAACTAATAATAATTATCATTCATATTACGTCGTTACTATCATTACTTTTTTTCCCATTATACTTGATCATATATTTATATCGCCCTATTTATTTAGATCCCATATTCATAAACTTTATATTCGGCTTTCTCGACATCAATTTCCAACAGTTGGATTAAGACATTTCAAGATAAGAATAATACGAAGTAAGCTTAATCCCAGTGATTAACACATGATGCTACAACCAAAGAGACATATGCAAATACCGTTCAACTTAACCTTCATATAAAAGTTATATAATTTCAGAAGAGTTTCGTTGTTATTTCAGTATTCTGCTACTCCACTATTTTATAAATTTCTATTTTCCCATTTGAAAATATAACTATAATATAATCTAACTCTTTATCAATTATTATACAAAATCTATTTATTAACTTGACATTCTAATAATATCCTAAATCAAAATACCATGTTGTCTACCATATTTATTAGCCACAAAAAATTTGGTCACATTCTACTCATCTTTTTTTTTTTTTTTTTTAATTTTACTAATCTATGATGTCTTAAATGTTACACAATCCACAATACTTGCAAAATAATATCAGATCTCAATAGTGATATTCTGAATCCCATCCCTAAGCTCTATCACCGTAAAAATGAAGGAAAAGGAAAGTGGCGAGTACGCAATAGGGCCTTTTGTTCTCGAGTATTCAACTGAGATTAATGCGACCTTACTGGATAAAATTTCGTTGCGTTGCAATCCCTTTCATCTTTTCCTGTTCTCGTGGATAATCTCGCGGTGATTCTACTCATTATACACGCGGTACTTGTGTGTAACAATTGACATGTTGATGCGTTCATTATACTTATAAATCTTACAACAATTCTTACTACAAAGACATATCACATACTTATGCTTCTACACTGCAATCTCATTGTCAGTTTCTTTCAGTAAATAATGGTTTCATTTGCAAACAAGTGCTCATGATGTATTATCTTTTACTTGTTTTATCATTTGAACTATTGTTTTTTTTTTTTAATACTCTAAAATTAAAAATATACCGTTCAACTACATTGTTTTCATTAAAAAAGTGAAAAATTGTATGCTATTAACATATGTATCTAATTCATGCAAAACTAACAAGATTATATCACATTCTTAATATTTGACTATTAATGAGAAATAAAAATTACAAAAATCACCGTGTATTCGAAAAGATTTTAAATCGAAAAGCAAATTTTCGATGCTCTTGAATCCCACGACGAATGTTCTATTTTCTATAAATAGATTTATCGTGGTTTCCAACCGATTAAACACACTCAATTCAATTAAGAATAAATATCTCATCCAAAATCAAACTTCTCCCTTCTTATTACACGAGCATTGTAACCCATGCCTGATCGTTTCTTCATTATTAATTAGTATGCATCACGCGTTACAAAACATGCTCTGGCTATAATTGCGCGATAAAAATTTCACGCGACATGTTCCTTTTCCGTGTGTGTTTCGCAACAACAATATACATATTTACTATTCAGTTCTAATTACTATTTCAATTACAATAATTGCCAGAACTATAATAATAACAATTAAATATAATCTTATAAATATCCTTCAATCAATTTTTTTTCTCTGCACGTTCTCAATTACATTTTAATACCATTCTTTGATATCAGAAAAAAAACAAATAAAAAAAGACAATTATTATGTAAAAAAATTGTGACATTTCGAGCTATAAAAGAAATTACAATAAAACTCCATTCGTTCAAATTTTGCTTGTTAGAACGAAATTTTAATTAGTACTTCATTAAATGAATTCATTTCAATTGAATCGACTCGTTTCAATATGTTGTATCTTATTATCTATTTGAACGAAAAATCATAAATGATAAAAAGACTCGATGAATCTCTATTATTGTTTTTTTGAACTTTTTCTCCAGATGAGCTAAGAGATAAGTGGAGTTCTTTTACCGCGTGTAATTCTATGTAGTTAGTACAACGTAAAAGAAAATCCTGACGGTTGTAATTTTGATAAATGAGAAAATAATTTTAGAAACTTACAACTCCTCCCTCTGACGTTGAGACAGCACCATTTTCATGATCCTCGCGTGTGTTTACTGGCTGATACTCAACAATGATTCAAATGAGCGCGACTAGATTCTTCTCCAGTCACCTCTTGATTACTTTAATACTCAGCCATCGACATCGCCTGCAATAGAAAAAAAAAAAATATTTTTTTAAATTTTTAATACAGTTTCATCATCAAAGAAATGACATGCACCAAATTACAAATTTCGATCATAGAAAGTATTGAAATATATAATATTTATGGATAAGTTATAATCCTTTGGTCAAATGATAGAGATTAAAATGAAATTAAATGCCATAAAAGTAATAAAATTTCCTTTTTATATTTGTCTTTGTACAATTTTCTTAAGAAATTTAGCAAATTTTAATAAAATATGGAATTCTAACTTAATAGACATATAGTTTCTTCAATAAGTACTACTATCATCACTGCAGAACTCACACAAATAACAATCTCACCACATATACCGTGGATTCAAATTTTCATTCATAAAATCGTTCCTCAATCACGAACAATATATCAACATCAACATCCAATATCTTCTTTTTTTGATCCTCAAGCACTTATCATTTGACCCACACCTATTACATATATACATAAAATACAATAATTATATTAAACAAATAGTAATAATACTATCGATCGATCAAATGTAAATAATATTTTGTCTTTACACTTAAATTATGGGAAAGTTTTTTTATTTCCGCAAACTTACTTTTGAAAATACTTCCACGAAACGACTATTTTCTTATTCAGTAAAAAAAAAAAAAGGAAACGTACAAGCATGAAAGGAAATTTAGACGAATGTGTGAGAACTGTTTGTCCTAAAATCCTTAATGGGTACAATAACATGCTTCTAACTCTCACAATTTATTTTACTTTCCATCTATGGAAAAATGCGAGGTGATTCGACGAAGAAACTTCATCCACTTTTTTGCTTTTTCTCTACTAAAATGATATATGTTAGAAGCGATATACAGAAATTTTAATTCATAATTATAAATTTAATCCTCGATGAGTGATGACGCAATTTTAAAAACAACGCGATTAATAAATTAATAAATAAATAAGCAAATGTACAACTGCAACGATAGACACTATTTAAATACGACATTTGTAAACAACATTAGTTAGCAGTGACATACTTGCATATTGCCTGCTTTGCGTTAATCACAAAATTTCCTTCATTAATACTTTACATGAAAGTCAACTCTTTACCTATACGAAAAATGAAAATCGTCGAATTTTACATTTTAATAATGACGGAAGTTTTCAAGGATATTGCAACACTAGTCAGCTGCAAACAGCGTACAAGGACCAGAATATTGATTATATTCCTTGGTTCATGCGACACCCACCCTTGCGATGCAATCCGGTGGAATGACATAACATTTGGCAAAACACGCGGGTCACGATCAAATAAACAGAAACGCAATTGGACGATGATGATTGAACGATGGTCTACTGTAATTGGTGAATACGAAACGATATCAGCCAATTAGAATGGACGAATCGAGAGCGGCCATCTTTCCCCGGTAATGTTCAAGCCTGATCTGACGATCAAAAAACGCTGCTCTTCAAACAACCCTTTCTATTGGTTTTTTCGTGCGTAAAGAATTGTATCATAAGAAGAAATGCTTTAAGAGAGGAGAAGGACCTTGACAATCGAGAAAGTGCGCTGCGTCGTCGCGACGCTTTACGACGACGCTTATCGGCGCGATGCGCCGTAATCGATAAACCCTCGTTGTCGTGTGTTTCACCTTATGGTACATTCAAATATTCATCACGGCCTCCTTTTTAATTCCCTCATGTTAATATGCATTAGAAAAACTCGTAATAGAACTGTTCGATCAATTCACCGAATCTGTTCTATTAATATCAACAATTAAATCGATATCACTTTGATTAAAAACAACTCTAATTTTCAAATGCATTCACACAGTCACAAATCAACTTAAACGTAGATTCGATGGTATTAAATTTCTTTTTTTTTTTTAACGGAAAGCTGCATTTAACGAAGAAACGAAGAAACGAAGAAACTCGAACTCGTTGGAAAATGTTCTCATAGAAGAAGATGGAAGACAGACGCTACTTCAAACGATAATGTTTGAACGATTGAGTTGCTTTCTAATTCGTGATTTTGCTTAGGCACGTACGTATGCGATATTAATGACCAATGATTTTTTGCAACAGCTATTTCCGGGATCATCAGTACGGGTGAGCGACTGTTGGCCTTCTTGAACCCGTGTACCGCGATCTACCTGTGGCTTCGCTTTTTCTCAGTTCTAATCTTCTCGCCGCTACTCGAAAAGTTACTCGAGATCGTCCACTGTTGCAAACATTATCACACGTACTCGTTTACGCGCGTACGAATAGGACAAATAGAAACTCAAAACTCGTTCAACAACAATGCTAATTTTCATGAAAAAGTACGCGCAACCACGAGAAATCTAAACCTGACACGAACTGATAAAATATCGATGCTCTTGCGTTCCAAAAATGCAAGAACATCAGGAAGAATTCAGTCCGCTGACAGACTCCGACAGCTGATCGCTCTAACAACGACAGCATCTCGCACAAACAACGTCTGTCAAAAGATATGATCCGATCATTTCCTATTATCGAGCTGAGCTGACAGATAAGATAATAGCTCGAGATTAAGAGAAAACTGAAACTCGACAGAAAGATTCAAGTAGCGTGGCTCGGTAGTTGCGGCAAGGCGATTGTGATACCCCACAACGCAAACGGTCATTCGCGAAAAAATCAATTCGAAGTGACGTGCAACATGTACATTGAATACGTGTGGAACGCGGCTGGATGACTGACGGAAAGTCATCAGCTAACGTGGTAAACGGTATTCAATCGGTATTCAATCGAGTGTACACTGTCAGGCAATGTCATGTCGGTCAGGAAGCGCTGCTAGAAAATCATTAGGCGAACGCGGAACAACCGTTTGTTGTAAATCGCGCACGGCCATTTTGCTAGAACCTGTCACGTCTGGTTGCAGTACATTTGCCAGTCGGATCAGTCTACTAACTAACGGATACAACGTAGGAACACGTAGGGATACGTCCGTATGCTTGGCATCCGATACTCACTCTTTTTGTCGGAGTAGCAGTAACCGGGATCCTTTGAGATTGGAAAAAATCACAGGGAAACCGGACGAACACAACCACCGAAGAACTCTGTACTCGAGATAACTTCTGCGATAGGACTGTTTCACGAGGTGGCGCCTGCGAAAGTCTTCTTTCTTCGCGCATGCGCTAAATATCGATGTCACTAATCTCTCTCATTGTTCCGAAAGAACTACATTTTGACCGTTCTATCCTCGCTAGGGAATTTTCCATTAATCGCGTTTACATCTTTTTACTAGGAGAAAGCTGGAGATTCTCAGAAACGTGTAAATATTTTACGAGCGCTTTGAAACTTTTAATATTGTAAATAAACATGTAAATAAAAGAATAAATAAATAATTACAATATTGATGACATTATACAACTTTGTCGAAGGATCTTCGTTTGAAATTTAATGTTTTAAAGAGGTTAAGGTAACGGAAAGTGACAACAATGTAAATATTAGCATAATGGCGAAATTGTAAAGTGTCAGCAAAAATTTGTTTAAGTTTAATTTGTGTGTTAAAAGTATATTTTTTATACGCTTTTTGTAGGTAAGATTTAATAATAAGTTAAATCTGTTACATTGTGAACCGGCGACATAACCTATTTCAGTTTACATGTTTAATAAATTTCAAATTCATAACATTATACTCTTACTTAAAGACCAAAAATCGAAACTTTAATGGCTTTTTCACAATCGAATTCGAGAGGTAATACTATTTATAATTTTTTTTTTTTTTTTTTGTGAAAGCTATGCTAGATCTTTATCTACGCTGATTGTAGAATTACAAAACAGAAAAATCTTGGAAGAATTGCAATTGAAAAAACAAATGCTTTTAAAACAAGGCGTGGCACCAACATTAAGCACATCATTAGCTGTTACACCAACAGGTTCGCCTTCTAATTTGGTAAATATCTACTTTTTATATTCATATAAATATATAAATATATATTTTCTATGTAATCAACTGATAAATTATAAGTTTGCTTTTTAATTGTCTTTACTCATCACTTAGCCTCCTACACAACCCTCTGATGGTGTTGTAATGAGTGCATCCCAAAGAGCTGCCTTACATAATGCAAATGCAGCGTCATCAGGTTATTTTGTGACACAGGATTCTTCTTTTGGTAATCTTATCTTACCAGTTCTTCCAAGATTTGATACTAAATAACAAAATTAAATTAAACTTTCAAGTTATAAGTAATTCTACAGACTTTGAATAAGTATGATAAAAGTGATTTTTAATATGAACTAAGTGATTTTTTTTAAGTGAACCTCATGAAAGTAATAAAATTAGCTGACAATTGATAATTAAGTAAAGAAAATGGCTAGCATTCAACTTCGTAAGTTAGAGGAATATTTGCAACAATTAGATGGATTTGAGAAGCCAAAAGTATTACTTGAACAATATTGTACTAGTGCTCATATAGCATCACGCATGCTGTACTGTGCTCAAGCACAATTCAATGACATAGAAGGACATACAGTAGCTGATTTAGGTTGTGGATGTGGTATTCTATCACTTGGGGCAAAGATACTTGGAGCAAGTCATGTGATTGGTTTTGAAATAGATTCTGATGCACTTAAAATTCAGTCTCAAAATTGCAGAGAAATAGAACTATTTGTGGAAGCTGTACAGTGTGATGTACTTCAATATTTACCAGGTACATGTACATGAATGTATAAAATTTATTTTCAAAAATAAAAATTTTTATATTATATACAATCTTGCAGGGAGATTCGAAAAATACTTTGATACAGTGATTATGAATCCACCTTTTGGTACAAAACATAATGCAGGCACAGATATAAAATTTTTAGAAATCGCGACCAAATTAGCATCAAATACTGTATACTCATTACATAAAACAAGTACACGTAATTACGTTCTTCAAAAAGCTGCACAATACGGAGCTAAAGGCAAAGTTATTGCAGAACTGAGATATGATTTACCGAAAGCGTATAAATTTCATAGAAAAACTTCTGTAGATATTCAAGTGGATTTTACACGATTTGAATTAAATTAGTGAGATATTTTCACGAAACTGGTTGTGCATTCTAATTACTCGAATTTTAGGCCTTGTGCCAATGTTATTTCATTTCCATGATTAATAGTTATAGTCGAACGTCGCATATAATTCTTCCATGAATCACTTCCACACTCGCGTCCACCACCTGTAGCTTTTTCTCCTCCAAATGCACCACCTATCTCTGCTCCACTAGTTCCAATATTAACATTTACTATTCCACAGTCAGAACCAAGAGGGCCAAGCCACTATAAAAATGTATTTATATTTTAATATTATGAGGTATATAATGCAATAATATAATATAAATCTTACCAGAGAAATATCTTCCAACTTCGTGCTAAATAAAGCACTGCTTAATCCTTGTGATACATCATTATTAAGAGCAATAGCATCTGTTAAAGAATCGACTTCAAAAATATATACAATTGGTGCAAAAGTTTCTTCTTGAACAATTTCAGCTTTAGGTGATAAACCAGAAATAATGGTTGGTTCGACATAAAAACCAGCTCTGTTTATTTGTTGTCCACCAAATTCAATTTTGCCACCATTTTGTAAAGCACTTTCTATTGCTTGCTAAAAAATTGTACATTTGTAAATTATATTAATAGTTGATAGATTTTATCGTATTAATATAATAGTCATACCTTATATTTATCTACTGCTTGTTGATTGTGTAATGGTCCATACAAAACGTTATCATCCAAAGGATCTCCTATTCGTCCAAGTATACTCTTAAATCCCGCTTTCAATTTTCCTATTTTGAATTCGCATAATATCTTTTCGTTAAATATTTCTTATAACTATAATTAATTAAACTGGTATAAAATTTTACCTAAAAATTCATCTTTTATCTTGCTGTGAAGAATTAATCTTCTTGTACTGGTACATCTTTGTCCAGTTGTTCCTACACAAGAGAATACTGCTGTTTGAACCGCCATATCTAAATTTCCATCTGGAGTAACTGTTACAAAAAACACAATATTTCAGTAATGTAACTAATTGTATGATGATATAACTATTGCTGGTGCTTGATTTACCTATCATTGCATTGTTGCCCCCTAGCTCTAACAAAGATTTCCCGAATCGTTGTTGAACTTTAAGAGCCACATTTTTTCCAACTTTAGTGCTTCCAGTAAATGAAACTAGAGGTACGCTACAAATAAAAATAGTAATTGCAGTAAATTATAAAAATTTGCTATGGTTTCAGTATTTTAAGTCTTACCGCGTGTCATTAACAATAGTATCACCAACATCGGATCCGCCTGTCACCAAAGATGCAACAGAGCCTGGTAGGCCATTTCGTTCTAATACTTGTGCGATTATTTTTGTAGTTGCAATAGAAGTCAATGGAGTAGTAGGTGCTCCTTTCCAAACAACCGTATCGCCGCATACCATTGCTATAGCAGCGTTCCAACCATATACCTTAAATAATATATCTCTTCTTAATTGGAGTTACTGTTTTTTATTAAATTTACGTACTATTTTATTATAGTGCTTACTGCAACGGGGAAATTGAATGCAGAAATAACTCCAACTACTCCAATAGGATTCCATTGTTCAAGAATTATATGAGATTTTCTCTCCGAATGAATTATAGAGCCACCAAGCATTCTAGATAAGCCTACCGCATAATCACATACGTCAATAAATTCCTGAATCTCGCCAATAGCTTCTGACAATATTTTCCCTGTAATATTATATATTATTATGACGACGTAATAACACTAGAAAGAAAATTTTGCGTATAAACGAATTATACCCATTTCTAAAGATACTAATCGTCCCAGTGGTTCTATATTGTTTCGAAGTTCCATTCCTATTTGCCGTAATATTTCACCTCTTTTAGGAACTGGCAATAGTGCCCACTGATTCCATGCTTTGCGACTTTCTGTAATAGCATTACTTGCTTCCTCAGATGTCGATGTTCGAACTTTCGCTATTACTTTGCCCGTTGCTGGAGAAACTGATTCTATCACCTACATTATAATATTAATAAGATTTCTAGTGGTTTCGTTTTTGGTATATATAGAAAATAATTTTAATTAATATTATTTGAACATTTAAAATTTATACAACATAATTACACGAGTAAAGAATAATACCTTGCCAGATCCGCCCCATCGTCCATCAAAGAGACCCGGATTTTCAGTTGTAAGACCCAATTGCTTCAAGAATCCATATTTTGAATCTGTTACTAAGTGTCTTACTTTCTGCACTTGAGGAATGTAAATACTATTTTTGGATAATACGCGAATCATTCCGAATTAAAAGTAATAAGCTAACTCACTTGTGAAAAATAAACTAACTCTTTAAACTGAATGCCGCAATATAAAGAGACCGTGGCTTATCAAACTAAGAAGAGAAGGGATATGATAAGCTTAAAAGAAGAAGAACATTACAGATAATTAAAGTTAATATCTGTTTTTGCAGTAATTACATTTTGTACGATAATTATAATTTTTCAATCGCAAACAGTAAACCCCATATAACAGAATTTTCACTACGTGGAATTTTACTTAAGTATTGTGGCATATGATAAAGATTCAAAGTGTTTGTCTTAAATATACAAGATAAACAAACAAGAACAATTTGTAATTACTTTGCTGATCTGGAAAATTTTTTTTTCTAGTTCAATCTTTTAATTTTCAACTTTAAAAATAACTTTAAAAATATTTTTTTTTATACTATGAAACATTTATCATATATCATATATCATATAAAATTTATATTATAAAACAGTTTCGAAATCTAAATTACATGTTATTCATCTCGGATAATTTTATGATTTGATGTAACATTTTTAAAAACAATATCGCGAAATTCAGAATGAAGTTTTAAATATTCACGGAGTATAGATATAAATGGCAGTTTTATACATATCAACAGCTATATTTTAAGTATTTGATCTTATCATAGAAAACAAAAATTTTTATATACATTTTTATTTTTAGTTATTATAATTATATATTATGTTCATATCCAACGATCACCACAATCTTTCACACACTCCGATCATTGTAGAAAAAAAATAGTCAATTTTTGGCTACAAATTACAATATAAAGATTCTCAAAAAAAACTTTTCTCGAATAAAATTTTAAGAATTGAACAAAAAGACATTGAACTTCTTAAATAACACTACATATTTTTAATCTCCTAGCGAGTGTTGTAGCAAGCATCAAAACGAATTGAATGACTTATTATATCTTAACATGACCTTAGCTTTTGAAATTTCATCTTGGTTAAACGGTAATAGATAATAGGATGCATTGAAGCATAAGCAAGATAAATGTTTCAGAGGAGTTACGGAGAAATTAATCTATATTGAACCATTGGTGAATTAGTACAACTCGTGAGCTGTTTTTTCTTATGTTCATTGTGTCTTCTTTTAGTTTTAAATTTCCTACTGTAATATTCTGTTTTGTATATTTCTATTCTTTATCTTATCAGTTTCGTGTTTTTTTATTCATTTTTTTATTGATTTGATTTTTAAATATGCTTTTTCTCTTCTTCTGAATAAAAATGGATACTTCTCTTCCAAGATCCCAAATGAGTGAAGAAATGATATTCTTTTCACATTAGCTCTTTAATACCTTTTTGATAGAAATTTTATAAGAATAATTTAGAATCTTTTATTGGCTTTTAAAAATTGTTTACTTCCACCTAACGATAACTGATACTAATTATCAGGTCATGAGGCACAATATCTTTATTCGTATATTTTTAGATAAATTTTTATTCGAATAAAAAATTATTCGTTGTCAAATAACTCTGTTTAATCACAATATCTTATTCAAAGTAAATTAGTCGAATAAAATTTCCCTATTTCGAACACTTTCTTGATCACTGTTGTAATCACTTTTGTAATGAATACTGCAGAAAATAAATATTTACAAATTTTGATGAAAAAAATTGTACACGCATGATAATGTATATCATATTATACATATCTAATACACGCAATTAACATTTTTTACAATACTAATTATAATATAGTTTTGTATCCTGCTAACTAATAATAGAGATTAACAAAATCTTGTTAAAGTTTAGAAATTTAGCGATAATGGAATAAATATCTTTATTCATTTTATTGCTGATACTCTTATTTCACGTAACACGTAAAAATATACCAATATTCTCACAGATACTTCTAACACAATACTGTCACAGATACTGATAACGATAGATATGTATATCTATATTTAAATTAAAAATTACGATAAAATTATTTAAATATCACATTATCCAGTAAGTTTAATACATTTAACATATTTATCTGCATTCTATATGCATATATATATATCCTGACGTGACACATAAATTCAAAATTTCTAGTGAGATGCCATCACAATAATGGTGGGAGTTTTGATATAAAGAAAAAATTTTTATCAATTTAATAACTATCTTGTAAACAATGAGAAACCATTCAGTTTTTATTATAAATGTCTTTTTTAATCTATAATTTTAATACAGGAAAATAGGGTAACACTCATCTCTGTTCAAGGCGTATATTCACCCTGAAGAACTTAAAACAAATTATTTACAATATACTTATAAATTATATTTACAAACAAAAATTACTGACATATGTAGAATTATAGCTCCACAGGTATTAAAAGATGTAGGAATTTTTAAGACGAATGTAACGCTATCTATTTTAGGATGACATATCAAAGGAAATAACAAAAGTAAATAAATAAGTGCTAAGAAATCCTGTTAAATACTCGAATAATAGAAAATTATAATTGCTACAGATGAATAATTGCGATTGCTAATTGTCAAATGTCTTACAAAATATTAATATATGAAATTGAACTATTTACACACATACATACGCATACAAACTCGATCTTTTTTAAACTCATTATAATCTATAATGTACAAAGTTCGATCGAATAATTTACTTGCCGTATATAGTAATGTCAATGCTGACCAAATGTAAAATTTACAAGCTCGTATCTCAACAACAATTTATATATGTACCACAAATATACAGTGTTTTAAAAACGTCTTGATGCTAGCTACAAGAATATGTAATCAAAAATATAAGTTTTTATTTTAAATTTTAAACGTGACTTTTACAGAATTTCTCAAGAATGTTGCAAATCAAACATGTATGTCCCCTAAAATATCTTATAAAAAACTTTTTGTCTGAAATATTTTTTCGTATTATTCATATTTTTCGAAGTATGTGTTCTTACAAACACACTGTATACATATTCATAATTTAGTTATATTTTCATCACACTTTTTATTAGTTATATTAAATATAACTAATATATTAAGTATAACAATCGATATGAAAGTGTTTTTAATTTTAGTCACAAAAGGTAATTTTTGAAACCTATATGCTATGTTTGCCTTCTGCATTTTGTTGCAAATTTGACTCATTTATGTGTATTCATAAATTTTTATACGATAAGTAGATGATACAATTATCTATTGTATGATGTATAAGTATATTACACCGAAAAAAAATTTATTTTTCTTTTCGTTCTCTGGGTTCTACTATACAGTATTTTTTAAAACTTATAATAAAAATTTTGTGTGTGCTCCTTCAACAATAATTAAAATATTAGAAAAACGTATTTTATTCTAATACTATAATAATGCTAGCGACATCACAATGCGATACGGCAGTGATTTACACAGAATTATATTATTCGTCTTTTTGTGTATTACGATTTTTAAACTGTATGATTTTAAAGTGTATGCCACGGAACAAAGTAAAACTTCAATAGAAATTACTTTTTTATAATTTCATTACTGAGACTGTGTTGGACATAACACTGTAATTCTTCTTATTGAAATGCAATTATTTCAACCCGGTCGACAAAACTGATAACATCGCAAATCAGAAATTAATTGCAGTACTGATCTCGTCAAAGTCGGTTGATCCTGTTAATACGTAACAAAATCAATAAAAAAACTATTAATTATTAATAGTAGCAATAACTATTAATCATTTATTATTAATTATTATTCACAAGTTTGATTTTTGAGTTTTACTTACTGTAGATTTGTCGAAGTTTCCTAATAATGTAGCTTTTTGCATGTCGTCTACACCTTCACAGCTTGCTAAAAATGTTGGCAGAAAATGTCCAAAAAACCATGCTATATTAACTGAAGCTAAACTATGAATAGCAGTTGCAATTTCATCCGCCAATAAATTGTGAGATCTAGAAATAAATATTATTAAAATGTTTTATTCAAGTAAAAAATAATAAATTAAAAATATTCCACTAACTGTTGAAATAAAACGGTAAACAACGCCATTAGAAATCTCTCGAGTAAATGAACTTTGAAAACAGCTCGTTGATAAAGCCGCCATCGTATATTTAACTGTTCTAGACTTTGTAAACTTTGACGAAATATGTTAACATCTGGTTGAAGAAGAGCTTGACCAAAAGCTTCTAAAATTGCAACTAATTCTTCCTTGTGTTCGACAGATTCCTCTTCATCAGCATGACCAAGAGTACGTAATATAGAAGTATTATAAAAATATTGCCATCGGTGCATAAGTATACTAAAATAAAATTTACATTTTATTATTGTTACATTAATGATACAAAGAGTCAAAATACAATTTGTTTATTACCTGTAGAAAAGTTTTAGTAACACAAGTGTGGTATCTGGATATGCACTAAGATCATTCCCAACAGCCGGCCACACTTGGCCTAAACATAAGTTAGTCACTGAAGGAACAAATGCTTTAAATGCACTACTAGGTGCTGATACGACCAATATTAAGATTTCTAGTAATTGATCTAACGCAGGTCCGGCAGATATATTTTCTCTGCAAATGCATCAGATGTGAAAATAAAATTATACAATATAAATTAAATTAAATTATTAAAAATTAAATAAGCTACCTAGTATAAATATGTAACATTCCTTGAACTGCATTTTGAGTAAACTCGGGACCTAGTTGCTGTTGTAACACTGAAAACACTGAATGCAAAAAACTAAGCAAAATCTCGCATACACTTTGACATCTTATCATATATGGCAATAACTCTAATGTTCGATTTATAGTTGATCCCAAACATGAATGTAAAATTTTTTTTATCGTCGTAGACGAGGCAGAACAGTCTTCGAGTAATTGAGTTAATGGCACTACTGTCATTGAAATTGTAGACTCAGAAGGTACAGGTTGTCCTTCTAAACCAAGAGGCGTAGATAGTGTGGATATCATGATGCCTAAGTCAATTGAGATTATATAAATGTATTATTAATATTTATTATTTAATAAATATTTAATAAATATTTAATTTTACTTACTTAATAATCGTTCTCTAATAGATCCATCACCATGTGGTAATACAATTGCATTTACTAATGCTCTTCGCAATACTTTTATTGTATCAGGTTTAAAGAATGGATATGTTACCATAGAAATTAAATTTCTAAACGTAGGTTCATCCCATAAAACAGGTTTTAAAATAGTAGTGATACTTTGAAAAAGATGCGTAGCGCAATGAATCAAATTGGCTGGTGGTGGATTATCACAGAATGTTGTATAATCTAATGCTAAAATACATGAATCAATACATCGTTGACAAAGTGACTCTTTTGTTTTTTCTGGTCTGTTGGCTATCCAATGGCACCAAGCTTGGAGTGAAGCTAATAACTGTGAATGACTGATCAACAGACAGAAGCACATCGTTTCATTAAAAATTGCATAAAAATATTTTGTTATATGAACATTTAACAACTTACACTTCTATAAGATCTATTACAATTGCAGCTGGTTGCAGTGATGCTTTGTACAATTGGTTCGTCTTGGCAAATTTACAAGCATCTAATGTTTGAGACACTACTTCTTCAGCTAATGACTGATCAATACTCTGATCATCGCCTGTTGTTATTAAACAATTATGTATTTTGCCAAATCAGAATCGTGATAGTATTATATAAGAATTAACTTACCGAGGAAAAGTGAGTACAATCTTGCTAATGCTTGAGTAGTAGAGGCTAAATCTCGTAAATGCGCATGTACATTTGATGCCTCGGGTTCGTTTAATAAAATAACTTGATTATTAGCAGTAACAGCACCTAATTCTCCAAATATTACTAATCCTTCTCGCCAAGAACGGTACTAAACAGTTTAGACAGAATTAATGTCTGCAAATTAAATTAAACATAAATAATTGATAAAAATTTTACCAATAATGTAAAAATCGGAATCGGAGAAATCTCTGCTACTTTTGCTAAACATTCTATATTACATCTTAAGAAATGCTGCCACTCCGTTTCTTCCTATAATAGAAATATATAGATTAAAATAAATATAATTTAAAAGAGAGACAGATAGGATAAAACTTTTATAATTTTCCTTACATTTTCATCTAAACTTTCCGTGTCAAGATCTTTTAATATACGTGTATTGAGCTTAAAACTCATTTTTTGCAATACTCTTTCGGCAAGAGCTAATGCTACTGGAGAGTAACGAGATTGGGTACTTTCTAAAAGAGTAGTCCAAACGTCTAAACATCGTAGATATCCGGTTACTGTTGAACATTGTTGAAAAGTATGATGGCACAAAACTTCTAATAACGTATTTACTGGAAATTTTGGACAAGACTCAACTCTTTTTAGATGATTTGTTACGAATAATTGTAAAAACTCTGTCAGTTTCTCCATATAACTAGAAATATAATGACTTTTTTCAAAAATATAAAGCTTTTAATTATAAAAAAATTTGTATAATATAGCATTTAATACCTCTCATTTATAGAATCCAAACGTTCTAAAAGTTGAAATAATGTGACTCCATTTTGGAATATTTCTACTAACAATCTATCAGTTACATCGGGAGAACATAACGGTCGGTATAAAAGTTCATTTATCGTAGTCACAGCTTGTACAGCCATTTCAATCTGTTTACTATTCTAATGATAAAACATATAACTATTTGGTATATTTTTTAATTGAATTGCAATATATATGTATATAGTAATATATAATCCTACCATTGCATCGTGATATCTGGCACACGTAAAAATGGCATCTAATAAATTTGTAGAGATATGTTCTGACAATTCAATCCAACTAAAAAGATGTGCTAACACATCTAGTGTTGCTATACAAACTTCACTAGTCCCTGTTGCTAATCCTTCTACATCTAAAATGGCTCTTGCTGGTGCTACTGTTTGTCCACTAGTGGGCGATGGAGGTGGTGTAACTGTTCCAGAACGACTTTGCAATTTTGTTGCTTCTTTTAGAAGTACTATAGTAAAAAATAATAATTATATAGCTTTAATGAAAGTAAAAATAAATAATTTGAGATCTATGGAAGGAGCCATACTTGTAAGAGAATCCAAAGTCAAAGGCACTTGAGCACTAAGAAACCTAAATAATTCATTTTTCCTTTGTATTGGCAAATCTTCTCTTGGAGTGGCTAGTTCCTCTGAAGCTGTCCGCAAGTAAATGAGACCCAACAGTCTTGTATGCTTGTGACTTAATAACTGCCAAAGAAAATTAAATTTTAGATTGAAACAGTTAATTAGAACCTTAAGTTCTGTGTTAAAACATGTACAAACCTGTAAAATATTTGAATAAAAATCTGGATAGAAATGTGGCCAATCGTGTCTAGCAATATCTACAACTAGTTTAACTACTTTGTTTCTTACAAAAGGAGCTACACCTCTTTCTAGTGATAATGTGTATAAAGTTGATCTTGTAAGAGCTCTGTCTTCCCATGGCAGTATTGGCCATCTTCTTCCAATTGTTGTCTACAATAATTTATTATATAGCCGTCTAATAAATCTTTTATTCTTTTTTAAAGCATTGAAAAGTTCATTTCACATTAAAAATGATTTAGTAAAAAACATTTAGTAAAATTTAGAGATATATATGTATACAATCACGAACAATTAAAATTACAGAATTCAATTATATTAGTTCATACCTCTAACGTAGACAAAGCAAACATACTGACATAATGATTGTTAGTAGAAGACAAAAAATGTAAACATGGTCTCCAGGAATCAATCTGTGCTGCAAATTCCTGAAAACTTCTTTCAATTGTACGTTTTCGTTCATTAGTTGTCTCTGGAGAAAAAAATTCAGTCATAAGATGCTCCAAATTCTGCAGAGCAGCTGCATCATTGTCCTGTAAATATAATTTACTTGGCACTTCAACAGTGAAACAGAAACATAAGAATACTAAACAAGTGCTATGCAAATTCACAGTTATCAAAATAATCTTTTTGAACTGAATCTTTTCAATTTTGTGTAAAGGAAAAACATTCTCATTTCTTATAATTTTCCTTTATTATAATTTAATTTAATACTCAATAATAATTTTTACAAAGCAATCTATTCATTTTTTAAATAATAATTGTTAAATGACATGTTATCATTAAAACCTTTGCATTTGTTTCTAAACTAATTTACATTACATTAAATAAATTTATTTACGGAATTATTGAACGATAACGTATATTTTATCTTTAAGCATATATATTTCAAGAAGTAATATAATACATGCGTTTAATTGAACATATTTAATTAAATAATAGTAATTGTTTCACGTACCATGATAGCGTCAAAGAGCGCGTGTTGCTATAAATGCCGTATATAAATACACAAATAAGCAAGGTTAGGCTCTCAGTTGTCAAACGTCATGTTTAAAGCAATAAAGTACGTAATTAAATACACGATCTCTCGATTTGTACATCATATGAGTGCAATTCTGTACGCATACTTATATTTCTGGCATATATGTATACGAATATAAGCTATTACACTATTGCTATGTAGCCAATAGTAGGAATAGGAAAGAACTAAAAAAACAACCATTTTTATTGAAGGACAGCCATTTTACTTTCGGACATTATTTTTACCGGGAAAAACGAAATGATTGTAAGGTAATTTGTGATTTACATGATGTTTTTTATTTAACAAAATTGCACGTGTAAAATTATATCAGTACTCGTAGCGTGTACTAACGTAGGATTTTGCGTATATTTTTTTTACATCCATGATATTTATTTTTATGCATCCGATTCTAAACCGATATCAATCTAAAGTTTATTTAATATAAAAATTTAAAAAAACATCAAATATGTATTTCAAAGATATAAATATAGTTGACGTAATCTATTGCACAATATATCGTGATTAATGGAATTGACGTCTTTGATATCAAATATCAAGTAATAGACCGATGTAAGATCCAAAATTATATGTGTGTGTGTGTGTGTTACAGAAGTATTGGATTTTAAAATATAAATTATCTTGGATTTTAAAATATAAATTATCTGTAAGCGTTTAAAATTGTTTATTATATATTGTGCTCAGCGTGTTACTGAAGAACCACTTTACTATTTTCATGTCGCATGTGACATTATCGACTCAGCGTTAAGAAAGACTACAGCGCCAGTAAAACGATAAAAAACATAATTACACATCGATATTCGATATTCGATATATCATCGATATAATTTATCGATTTAACGTGCATTTTAAGCGGTGAGAACAGCAAAAAGAAGTGTGTCCAAAAATCATCAGGTAAAGATTAAAATTAGGTTTAAAACTCGTTTTTTATATTATCAAATATCTTTATCATTTACAGGAAGGAAAGAATATAGAAATCATGAAAATTGGTGAGTGAAAAGCATTAAGCACAGTATGGTCATCGACGAAGGACATGACGGAGTTCATAGCTTTCCTACAATATGAAGGGTTAGGTAAGTAATGGAATAAAACTATATATGTCTGTTTTTATACGTTAACCTGAATAAACGATTGATTCAAATGATCATTTTCAACACGAGCTGTTATACTTTCAACGTCTTTTAACGTGATCTGTAGTATAATTTTAATTTTAGTAACACAAAAAATCTATTAAATATAATGTGTCTTATTTGCAACTTTATGGGAGATATAAATTTGACAGTAAAATCTAAAAATTATTTTTTGTATTGATAAAAACTGTCAACTGTTCTCCACTATTGTTACTGTCAAAAGATTAAACTAACTTTGAGCAGAACCATGTCACTTGTTGTTAGATTTTTATCACATACACATTGGCTCATACACTGAATTTAAATAAAATTTCTAAACATCTTAAATATTCAAACATATTCATATTTTTAGTACTTTATTTACAACACTTAAATCACCACAGCAATTGTAAATATTTTATGATATATTTTTAAATTATAAAATTATGAATTACATAGCAAATAATATGAACTAATTGAATTCGATCGTAATTTTATATCTTTGTACACATGTTAAATTCATCAAATTCATCAATAAATATCAGTAAAATGCGATAGTAAAACTTAATTTTCTCAAAGTATATATAGATAAAGAAAGAATAAAAATGTAAGAAAATCGGCACAATGCCCTTTTCAAGCATACATCTTTTACTCTCGGGGCAAATAAAAGTTATATTTATAAAATTTTTAAATTTAGCTACTTGTGTGAATTTCAGTGAATTCATTTTCGAATTATTTTCTCGTCAATGTGAACAAAAAGCGAAAGGAGCTAGCGGTATTTGATAGAAATATCTTTGATAGGGAGAAAACCGTATTGCGGCTACGGTTAATTTCGTCCACAGTCCACTTTCAGATTGTGGCTAAAATTTAAATCAATTCCAGTTTATACCTTGGGATATCCTCGTCGATCGTGGGCGAATTGATTCGTTACCACACGTGGTTTACTCTCTCGATAATATTCATTGTACTCAGTCGAATATTCATTGTTCAGTGTAAGTGAAACGTGACGTACAGATAACCGAATGATACATATATACACATGTATACACTTGGATAGTGAGAAGATCTAAGTATAACATTTTCATAAGCCTGGATTATCATTCGTAAAATACGTATAACTGATGTAAGCAAAATATTTTTCTCACTAAATTCTCTGAAATTTCGTACGATGAGAAAGTTATTCTCATTTTACCTTACTTTGAACCATACAATCAAATAAAATAATCAGAAGTCATTTGCTAATTATTTTCCATATGGTAGAATACATTTACCGCGATTTGTTATTATTAATTTGTATTCGTGATTTACGAATAAACATCGAAATAATTAGTTAATCCAGCAGCTAATGTTTTATTCATTTTGTTGTTCAGCCTGTCAAATTAATGCTGTTACGTAATATAATGGTTTTGTACAGAGATCTGTATTGTTGTTGAATAATAGATTCATTCTTCTTTCAATAATGCATTATCAAAATTTTAGAAAGAATTATATTTTTAATGTAATTTTCGAGTAAATTAACAAGAGCTCATTCAAAGGTTCATACAATACAGCAACATACGTATAAATAATTTTGTATAAAGGGCAAACTGTTTCAAAAAGATGGACATTGCAATGCATTTTAATTTTTTAAATTATGATACATGAAGATACAACACACTGTGTAGTTATTAATAGTAGGTGTAAAGAAAGGTAGAAATAAAAACTGGGATTTTATATGAATTTAGAATTATTATAATTACTCTAAATATAATTTGGGAATGTAAAATTTTTTGTGAAATCATTAGGTGAAATGTAGAAAAAAAACATTTTATAGCTGTTTTGTCGTTATTGAACGAATGTTTAGTATATGTCATTAAATGTGTACAATACATATGTATCTAATGTTAGTTGTAAATAAAGTTAGAATTTCTCTGCTGTGAAATATCCCCATTAAGTGCATAGATTGAAATATGTCATATCGTACTACAGTGGAAACCAAAAGTAATTAGCAAAAGCGTTTATAACATATAATATGTGCACCTATATTGTATAAAAATGCATAAAGTATGTTTACGTTTAAATAGTTCACGATTGATAGTACTCCCTTTTATTACAAAATAATCGTTTATTTAATCATTCATGATTTCCAATTTGAACGTAGAAATCTACCGAAATTTGTTTTATCGAATAATCCTAACGATGTTATTATATTCTCATAACTGCTTCTCTTTCATTTAATCGATGGCCTACGTTATGCCGATTATGTTACACCGATTAACAATAGAAAGCTTGAATTAGTGAAATCCGAATTAATGCTAATTAGTGCTTTTAAAAGATACTTGAAATCAACACACGAGGAGGGCAAATTACGTTGTGCAAAAATTCGAAAAATTATTTCGTTGATCTTCAAGAGTTTCCCTAACGATTGGCAACGTGCATGATTTTAATTTAGATTGAGTTTTCATTGCATAGATTAGCGCGTAGAGACATGCATAGATTACGCGTGCACATTATGCAGATACCGAGCACACGTACAAAGGAAATCTTATCAAAGTTATATCTAAATGTCATCTACGTGCATACATCTATTATTCGCTTGATCTTCTAAAGCCAAAATTGGCATTGTACAAATTTATTTTTGTAAAAGTCTAGAATTGAGAAAATCAATGTGTTTCATTCGATTTCAACTCAATTCTCTTTACCCACAAAGCTCCTGAATCTTAAATGAAACAAGTTTTAAATAAAAGTATCCTGGTAAAAGTTTTATATCAAAAATATTGATTTTCTGGCCTGCGGTGTCCTATATTGATTTGGACATTGACTTTCTTTTTTTTTTTAATATATTTTACAGGTTGTTCTATAATGTACCATTTCATTTATTAAAAAGTCACAATGAATATACAAAATGCAAAAGAAACAATAATGGACTCGTTTTTTAATGCCATATGCAGCAAGACTTTATAAATAACATTTGCGTTTGCTATTGATTTACAACAGTGAGCATAGTGCATTAAGTGTATTGAATAATAAATCGACTTGCCGAATAAATCCAATAACACATCGATATTACACTATACGTGCCTACTTTTCGTATATATTTCACGAAATATTAACGATTCTACAGCCAGTGTTATAACGCAATTTCACTTGTCTGGTTTTGCCCTGTGTCGAGAGGAAAATAGAGAAACATTGCTATTTTCCTCGCGCGCCGTGTTTTTATTATAACTTTTTAATAAAGCTTTTAAGAAGCTTTACTTCTTTTACCAGAAGCTTTTTCTACCATGGGATACTGCGTAGAATATTGTTGAATATAAAAATAAAATACATCAAAAAGAAATCAAAATCCTGACAAAGATACGTGTCGTGATGACTTATTTTTATCATTATTTTCGAAGTTTCATGCATTGCTTTGTTTCTCTCCGTGTTTTGTTGAAAGTTCGACGCGAGCTTCTCCAACAATCTAACGCAATTTCAATTTTCGTGCAAAATGAAAAAAAAAAAGCAAAAAAATCACATTTGACAGAATGCTTCAGCGTTCTTCATTATATCGTGCAATTGAGATAACGATTATCTCTAGGGCTCTCTTGCCACGATTGAACCAATGTTATTAACGAAATTTCACAAGTGTTGGCAAAAATTAGAATGGAATTTCACAAGCAAACTCCACGGATTAACAACTATTTGATCATTTGAGCTGTTTGATGTGAAATCATGATATAAAACAGAAGAAAAATTTGTCGATTCAGAAATATTTAGTTAGCTGCGAAAGAGAGGAATCAGGGGGAAGGGGTGGGGGAGATTTAGTGATTAGAAAAACGGCAAGGTGAGAGGTTAAAGACATCGAAACGCGTTATGGTCTATACAGATGGCAAATGTCTTTACCGTCGCGTCGGTTCGCATGAGCGGAATCTTTGATGCTCAGCTGACACGTAATTTCCTCGCCTTCTACCTTCATTCTCGCCGCGCGAACCCGGGAAACGGAGTAAGTTTCGACGAAGGGATCCGATCCCGAGCATCACGACGTTCAAACTTATTCCTTTCACCGTGAAATCGAACGATTCCTCTTGGATTTCATCTCAACGGCGACGACTCGGAAAGGAAACGACTGTCGTCGTGACTCGAACGTGATCTCAACAGTCTAAACAGTCCACCGGTAACAACTGTATGAAAAAATTGCAGGTTATTAGCCCGGAGCAAAGATGATCTCGGCCGATTGAAAAAGACGATTCACGAGCTTCTTCCTTAAAGAGCACTTTGAAAATCCTTTCAATATCCGTGGGAGTCTGAAATTAGATCGCGCGGAAAGTAATCTCGTGGATACGAATTTTATTATCGGCGTGCACCTCGTCGACAAATTTCGTCAAAAAAAAAAAAAGAAAAAAAAAAGAAAAAAGAAAAAGAAAATTAAAACACTCGATCAATTGTCTCTGACAAATCGTAACGATTTTTCTGTGCCGCGCGAGGTGCAACGACTTTTGTCGATAATAAAATCGCGCCTGTGTTATAAGCAATGTGAAACAGTGCATCAAACGGAATACATCCCGTAACACGAAACGCGATATGGGGAGAGTCTGTTAATCGATGTCGGATTAATAGATTCGTGTTTCTCAAATGGGCATACATGGCCATGGTATTACCTTGCTCGTAAAGGAGAACAGTATCCGCGGGGATAATCGATTGGTACCTAGATCTTGATCAAAACTGACATTTGCAATGGGAGAAGTCCGAAGGACTAGGAATTCTGTAAACTCCAAATGGACCCTGTGGAACTGCCGTAGCCATAAACAACGTGTATGAACTTACCTGCAATTGATAGATAGCTTCGAAAGAAAGAAAGTGTTCCAGTATTGATTGTGAGCACATTTCAACCTGTGTCTTATGACTATCTACGAGGAAATAAATCTTTCCTCGAGGAAATTTGATCAACGATCGGTCATAATGGATGATTAATGGATTTATTCTTGAAGCATTTAATGTTTCACCGAATTAAACATAGTGCATTGGAATAAATCCAAGGATATAATTTCGTTATACATAATTATATAATTTCATAGAGCATGGTGCTG